AAACCTGCTCAACTGCCCAGTCACCTAGCCCATTCCAACCCTCCAGGCTTTACAGAAACCAAACAGAAACAAAGACAAAAGAAAGTTACCTAGTGTGGTGCCACATGACTCAACGAAAGGGGGTGTTATGGTGGATCCTGAATTGAAAACCAATGATAAAAACACAAAGACAGAATAGACAGAAAAGAATAGATGCCAACCCAATCTGTCCACGCCACTTATAAGGGAATGGTGCTGGGAAGATGGGCGCCAGAACCAGGCAGCTACAATCACCACTAACTGAGGAGGGTCCAAGCATCCTTGGCCCCCGTCTGTACCTCCTGGGTATCCTCAGGGCGGCAGTCTGTGATCCTCCAGGCATATCTGCCGATCATACTTAAGGTGGAATCTGGGGATTGGGGTGGTTGGTACAGAGACAGACACAAACAGCAAAAACAGAAGGACAGACACAACAGACAGGACAAACCGCGTGGCAAAGGAATGGTGCCCCAAACCAAAATTACAAACAACCCTTGGACTTTCGTCCAGGGCGAGACCAAGGGGTCTCAGGACACGTCTGCCTCTGAGGCACATCTGCTTTCCCTATGGTCAAATCAAACAACCCTCAGACTTTCGTCCAGGGCAGGACTTCAGAGTCTCAGGACAGGTCTGTCTCCCACCTGAGGTCCAAATTACAAATTCAAAACAGCCCAAATACAAGTCCTGCGCAGGCACAGATCAAATTCAAGTCATGGCACCAAAATCCCAGCACAATTTTTCGCAGACCTTGAAAGAACAATACTCAACTTTATATGGAAAAACAAAAGACCCAAGATAGCCAAAACAACGCTATACAATAAAGGAACTTCCAGAGGCGTCACCATACCTGACTTCAAGCTCTATTACAAAGCTATAGTCCTAAAAAAATCTTGGTATTGGCACAAAAACAGGCAGGTAGGCCAATGGAATTGAATAAAAAATGCTGACATTAACCCACACATCTAGGAACACCTGATTTTTGACAAAGAAACTAAAGTTATACAATGGAAAAAAGAAAGCATGTTCAACAAATGATATTGCCATAACTGGATGCTGGCATGTAGAAGACTGTGCAGATAGATCCATGTCTATCACCATGCACAAAACTCAAGTCCAAATAGATCAAAGACCTAACATAAATCCAGCCACAGTGAACCACTTAGAAGAGAAAGTGGGAGGCACCTTTGAACGACTTGGTACAGGAGACTGCTTTCTGAATATAACACCAGTAGCACAGACAATGAGATCAACAATTAATAAATGGGACCTCCTGAAACTAAGAAGCTTCTGTAAGGCAAAGGACACAGTCAGAAAGACAAAATGGCCACCTACAGAATGGGAAAAGATATTCACCAACCCCACATCTGACAGAGGGCTGATTTCCAAAATATACAAAGAACTCGAGAAACTAGTCACCAAAACACCAAATAATCCCATTAAAAAGTGGGGTACAGAACTAAACAGAGAATTCTCAATAGAGGAATCTAAAATGACTGAAAGACACTTAAGAAAGTGTTCAACATCCTTAGTCATCATGGAAATGCAAATCAAAACAATTCTGAGGTACCATCTTGCCACTGTCAGAATGGCTAAAATCAAAAATACCAATGACAGTTTATGCTAGAGAGGATGTGGAGAAAATAGAACACTTCTCTACTGCTGGTGGGAGTGCAAACTCATACAACCACTTTGGAAATCAGTATGCCAGTTCCTCAGGAAAATGGTAATCAGTCTACCTCAAGATCCAGCATTTCTACTCTTAGGCATATACCCAAAAGATGCACATTCATACAACAAGGACATCTGTTCAACTATCATAGCAGCATTATTTGTAATAGCCAGAACCTGGAAGCAACCTAGATGCCCCTCAGCTGAAGAACAGATAAAGAAAATATGGTACATTTTCACAATGAAGTACTACTCAGCAGAAAAATCAATGGAATCTTGAAATTTGCAGACAAATGGATGGAACTAGAAGAAACCATCCTGAGTGAGGTAACCCAGTCACAAAAAGACAAACATGGTATGTAATCACTCATATATGGATTTTAGAATAAAGCAAAGGATTACCAGGCTACAATCCACACAGCCAGTAAAGCCAGGAATAAAGGAGGTCCCTAAGAGAGAAATACATGGTCCCCTGGAGAAGGAGAAAGGGACAAGATCTCCAGAGAAAATTGGGAGAATGGGGAAAGGGAGAGGGAGAGGGAGTTATGAGAAAGATAAGGGGAGAAAAAGAGGAGAGAGAAGGACATGAGGGAGCAAGTAGGTTGAGTCAGGGGAAGAATAGAGGAGAGCAAGAAAAGAGATACCATAATAGATGGAGCCATTATAGGTTTAAAGAGAGATCTGGCACTATGGAAATTTCCAGAGATCTACAAAGATGACCCCAACTAACATTCTAAGCAATAATGGAGAGTCTACCTTAAATGCCCCTCCCCCATAATGAGGTTGATGACTGCCCCTCCCCCATAATGAGGTTGATGACTACCTTATATGCCATCCTAGAGCCTTCATCCAGTAGCTGATAGAAGCAGAAGCAGACACCCACAGCTAAGCACTGAGTCGAACTCTTGGAATCCAGTTGCAGAGACGGAGGAGTGATGAGCAAAGGGATCAACACCAGGCTGGAGAAACCCACAAAAACAGCTCACGTGAGCAATGGAGACTTCATGGACCCCAGACTGACAGCGCTAGGAAACCAGTATAGGACCGACCCAGACCCGCTGAACGTGGGTGACAGTTTGGAGGCCTGGACAGTCTATAGGGCCTCTGGTAGTGGAACAGTATTTATCCCCAGTATATGAATGGATTTTGAGAGCCCATTCCACATACCGGATACTCTCTCAGCCTAGACATACGGAGGAGGGCCTAGGCCCCGCTCCAAATGAGGTGACAGACTTTGACGACCCCCCATTGAAGGCCTCCATGGCTAGTAGAAAGGGGATGAGATAGGGAGTTGCTGGGGAGCAGGGGAGGAGGAGAGGGAGATGGATCTGGGATTGACATGTAAAACAAGCTTGTTTCTAATTTAAATCAAAAATATAGAAGATAAATATGAGAATGGAGTTGCCCTATGATAGGGTAATAAAGCTCCTACTGGATAGCATGAGCTACTGAATAAAAATCCAGTGAACATGTTACCTCTCTTTGGAGTTGTTGGCTACTGAGATCTTATAGACACCCCAAATACAGGATATTGTCAATGTTCTTTCCTGCCCTCCAGAATTTGGTGGTAAGAGCCAGAGGTGGTAGATGATTGGAAACAGTGCTTTCCAGACACACAGGGAAGTCACACATACGAACTCACAGCAGTTTTGATAGCATGACAGAACTACACAAGCTCAAGGCAGACAACATCTCAATAATAAGGGGGATGCAGGCACAAATACCGCCCCTCCACTACTTGATGAGTTGTGGGCAATTGATAGATTCTGGGAGAGGGAATGTTGGCTCCCCGATTTTCTAATAAAAACACTTAAATTGTAAACATTTATTTTAGAATTCATTTTTATTTTTTTGCACATTTCAAAACATATGTATTTTGTGCTTATGTTTGTCATGACTATGTTATGGCATATGTATGGCTGTCAGAGAAGAATCTGTGGGTGTCAATTTTCTCCTTCCACCATGAGAGTCCTGGGGATTGAATTCAGGTTGTCAAGCATGGCAATCAGTGCCTTTACCCACTGAGACAACTAGTCATCCTAGAACTGCCTTGGATGTATCTCAAAGGTTGTGATTATGTATGGTTTCATTTTTCACTTGATTCTATGAAATTTTAAAGTTCGCCTATGCTTCTTTTCAATGAATCACTGGCATTTTTTAAATATTCATAGTTTTTCCTGCTATGGATTTCTAATTGTATACTGCTATGACCTAATAATAGAAGAGACATAATTTCAATTCTTTTATATTTGTTGGGGTTTAAATAATATAATCTATTTTAGTGAAAGTTCCATGTGCTGCTTTGGGGTGGAATGTTCTTAAATATCTGTTAGGGCCATTGGACACATAGTGCATTTTAGTTCTGAAATTTCTTTCCTGGTTTGTTCTTGTTGTTATTTTTGTTTTGTTTTGTTTTGTTTTGAGAATTGACAGTCTACCTAAACAAGAGTTGGGGTTTGTTAGCATGCAGATTATAGCTCACCTCAAAAGATGAGTGAGCATTGACGTCACCAAGGCAGATTAACACTAGCTCCAGAAACTCCCAGGTTTTCACACCTTGGATGGCTAACATCTAAATGAGGTACTGTCTCCTGAGCATGTTGGGGTGTTGGGGAGGTAGGAGAGTATTAAATCTGTTACTGGAGGGCCCATGTCAGTGTTCCCTAATCCTGCTCCGTGCTGAATAACCTGCAGAAGAGATGGGCTGTCAGGAATGTCCCAGAAATATTTATTCTGAAATTATAGCAAATATGTGGAAGTGTGTGCTATAGGTAGATAATACTTGAAAACTTCTCAAATCTGCATTCTATTTTCTAAAGGGTAATATTGATGAAAGGCTTTAAAGTAAAGATATGAAAAATGTAGTAGTATAAATGAGGACTGGAGCAGCTGGTGCAGCAGGTAGGATCTGCCCACAAGGTGGCAGAGCATCTCCACTGCTGCAAACTTACAAAGGGATTTTTGGTTGACTTCTGTGAGAGCAGCTGCAGCCAGCAGGCTTCAGTGCAGACAACTGAAGAACCTGCAGTTCTGTGGAGGACAGAGGAGGTGAGCTGACCACAAAAGCATCTTGCCTGACTGAAGGCCACAGTCCCCAGGGAGAGCTATGAGGACACTGACTGGACCGTTTGTCCTATGCTTGTGGCTGCAGCTGAACTGTGAGTGAGAGCGTTGGGAAACAAGACGTTTTGGGCAATGTTCATGATCAGTCTGAGGAGCAGACTGGTTCCTCCAGATTGCCTGAAATCCCTGTGGGAAGAAAAAGTCTGGAGAATGGTGACCTGATGGTCTTCCTGCTGTTTCCTTTTGCACAGGTGTGAGCAGAGGAGAGCAGGTGGAGCAACACCCTTCTTTCCTGAGTGTCCAGGAGGGTGGAAATGCCCTTATCAACTGCACCTACACAGACAGCACCAATTATTACTTCTACTGGTACAAACAAGAGCCTGGGGCAGGTCTCCAGTTGCTTATAAATGTCCTTTCAAATATGGATAGAAAAGAAGAACAGGGAGTCATTTTCTTACTGAATAAGAAGGACAAACGTCTCTCCCTGAACATCACAGCTGCCCATCCTGGGGACTCAGCCACATACTTCTGTGCAGTGAGTGCACAGTGATCTTCGGGCACCTGCTGCATGCACACTAACCTGAGACCACAAAGGCAGACATTTTTCCACCTTTGAGTTGAAAATATTTCTGAATTATATTAACAGTGGGACATTTTTAAACAACCTGAAATTCTGTTTCCAAAGATATAATGAATGTTAGAATATTTTGTGTTAACTCCAGATGAAAGTGAGTTCTTCAGTGTGGAGGCTCCAGGATGCATTTAAATCCACCCCTCCATTAAAAGAACTCAGTGTCATTAGCCCAGAATGCTCATCTTGGTAGAAAGGCCCTTGACTTTTAAGAACTATTTATTGTTTCTTATTAGAAAATAGTAGACAAAAGAAGCAAGATACAAAATGGAAACTCCACATCCTCTAATTCTATCATACAGAAAATTCAGTAGCTTTATAAAAGAAGCATATACTACATTTGGTTCCAGCCATCCACTAGGAGTTTTGGGGCATGCCACCTGTTAACTGTGTCTACTGTAGAATTAAAGACATAGAATTAAAGGCTTTGGTGCAGTTTGCAGAGAAACCACCAGAGCTCACCACCGCTGGTCTAGATGTGGTTTCATTTCATTTGCAATGGGGGCATCCCAGCTGAACACGCCTATTTCCTCTTCAGTCAGACACACACACACACACACACACACACACACACACACACACAATAAAAGACTCCTGTTTTACAGAGTTTCTTGCCTATTAGAGAATAGTTTCTAGAAAAAAACTTTCTGGAGCCCAGCCCTGTAAGATAGGGTGCACTGCAAGAAACAAGAATCATTTCCTTCTACAAGCATGCTTTCTGTCATTGGTTTCAATATTGTGATCCTCTTAATGTTCAGTAGGTACCTTTTTCTTCTACGTATTAATGACAGTTCATTTTTCTAAAAGTTAAAATGACCTTCATCCATCTTACCCTATAATGAATCAATCTTGTTTCTTTCTAGAGAAGGGCAATGGAGAGTCCATATCTCAGACAGAAGGTCCAGTTACTCTCACAGTGGAGGCACCTCTGATCCTAAACTGCAACTATCAGACTCCTTATTCGGACCCTCTGCTTTTATGGTATGTGCAACCTCTCAACAAAGCCCCTCAGCTGCTCCTGAAGAGCTCCACAGCCAACAAGACGACAGAGCACCAAGGGTTCTATGCCACTCTCCAGAAGAGCAGCCACTCCTTCCACCTGGAGAAATCCTCAGTGCAGCTGTCAGACTCTGCCCTGTACTACTGTGCTGTGAGGGACACAGTGAGGGAGATGCAGGGGAATCTGCACACAAACCAAGGTGCAGGAGGCCTGAGGGGAGCGGCCCTGTGAGGGAGAGCTGTGTGCCTTCTCTCAGTAGTGTTGCCTTAGCTTTCACAAGAAGAGCAACAAATCACAGACACCTGGAAGGTCATGAATTAAATTATTCTGAAGCAAGATAGGGTGAAAGTCAGTGTTTGGTAGAACCAACATTGAGATCCACAAACTCAGTGCTCAACCAGAAAGGCTGATGAACCCTGCAGAGTGCAGGAACTCTCACAGCAAACATGTCCAGGGAAACTCTGATTACAATTAACCATCACCAAGCTACATCACAAAACTAGCTTTTTAATATCCTCATGGATTTTATGTTCGTCTCTCACACAATTATGACTCAAAGAAAAACATACAATATTTTATCTGTGAATCTACTTCAGTCTTCACAATCGAGGCTCTTCTTGGGTTCATGCTGCAGAGTTCAACCTAACTGCCACCAACCTTCATTTCATGAGGCTGCTTAAGAGGCTGAGATGTGACAAGAATCCCAGTGAGGTCCTGAGAGTCACTACTTCCATGACCTCACTATACACTGCATGAGGATACAGTCCCAGTTAGGAAACACCATGTCCATGATTTCCTTCCTCTTCATGGCAATCCTCCCCTGCCATCATCTGACCTTGACCCCAAGGATGTGTCTGCTGTGGTCTCTCACCTTGAGTTATACTTGGATTCTCTGATAATTCTGAACAAGGAAGAAATACTGGGATTTTGATTGATCCCAGGTTTAAACAAAACATCAAGCTAAAATATATCAACATTCAATATTTTCTCTACTATACAAAAAAAGATGGTGTGAAGTAGGGATGCCTCTCATAAGAGAAAAAGTTTGTCTACATGTACACAGACCAGTAATGTAAACACTGTGTCTTATGATGAGGGAGCCAAATGAACAACAAACACTGTTTCTGAGTAAATAATAAATATTAGCTTGTGTTTTTATTATTGACCTCTTTTGTCCAGATGAGCAATGCAGTAAGGAACCCACTGAGATAAGAAGGAGGTTATACAGAGTTTGACCCTCCACACTTCTTCCTTTGCAGGTTTCTTTGGGTTTTATTCTTTCTCCTCCAAATCTGTGCTTCCTCCTTAGCTGTGCTTCCCTGCACTATAGTAGTTCAACCCCCATGAACTGCATCATCCAGGTCCATTCTTTTCATAATCTTACTAGAGTCATACTCTGCATAGAAACTGCAGAGACCAGCAGACTGGAAGGGAAGCTGAGCATTTCTTCTTCCCTTGGATATTCAGCTCTGGTGGTCCTGATATTGGTGACATCACTCTCAACTACAGAGAATGTGAGAAAGCTCTTGTTTCATAGCCTCAGACCCCAACGTCTTATCTTGCACCCTCTGACTAAATGTTAAAATGGCTTTTGTGATTATTAGGCAGTGCCTGCGTGTTCTGTCACCATTTCCTGAGACTCTGAATCCCATGCTCTGCCCTCTACATAGCCCCACCCCTGAATGCTCTTCTATTCCCATGTGAACATGACGACTCTACTCAGGACTACACCAGGAACTGGAGGTGCAGGTGGAGTCCTGCTGCAACTCCCACAGGGTATCTCAGCATTTTGTTTCTGTAAACCATGAGTCACACATTTACAAAGACTGTTGCACTTGATTTGCCTTCTACTGTAATCCTAACTCTTAACCTCCTCATTCACTTGCCCTTAAGATGTCTTCTACGGTGATTCAAAAATGCTAATGCTAGCTGGGCGTTGACGGCGCACGCCTTTAATTCCAGCACTCAGGAGGCAGAGGCAGGTGGATCTCTGTGAGTTCAAGGCCAGCCTGGTCTCCAGAGCAAGTGCCAGGACAGGTTCCAAAGCTACACAGAGAAACCTTGTCTCGAAAAACCAAAAAAAAAAAAAAATGCTAATGTTGTGCTGTTCTATGATCCCTGTCTTGTCCACATCTACTCTGCAGTTTTCAAGGACTTTCATAGGCTGCATTCCAAACAACTGTGTATCTAGATAAGTGTGTCTTCCTTTATTATCATTTTCTTTGGATAGAGACAAATTCTATTCTCATTGGAGAATTTTAGGAAGTGGAATTTTTTATTATCATATTTTTTATTTAATTTATTAAAGGAAGTGGGTATTTTAATGTCACTTTTTCCCAATGGTGTGTGTGTATATATATATATGTATGAATATATATATATATATATTTATGATAAATATATATGTATTAACAAAGAATATACAAATTCTAACATAACATATAAACTTTAGGGTCTATCAGAGTATATTATTAGAATATTTATTCATCTATATGAGAACATATACATGTGTATTCTCCTCATGTACATGTATTTGGAATATATTTGTAAAAGTACATTCATAACAAGTGTTCAATAATGTGCACAAGCATGCTTTCTTAGGTGTGTGAATAATTGTAAAATTCATGAGCAAGTCTTTTCCTTGATAAGCTAAGAGTTTCATGCATCAAAAGTACTCTGTCATCTAGTTAGCCAAAAACATGGAATCTAAGGACATATTAGTAATATATAGAAATATTTGGATCTTAAAAATCTTGAAGGCTGAGAAGCATCATAATTTGCCATCCACAAGCTGGTAACCCAGGGAAGTTGATAGGTTAACTTGTCATCCCCAAACCCATGAACCCAGAGCACTCATATCTAAGGGCAGTATGGATGATAAACAGCCCGTATCTAACAGAGATAATAGTCATCTTTCCTTCATCATTTTTTTCTGCTCAATCCACATTGTGCAATTCATTGATTCCTATGTTAATTTCCAAAAATTGCCTCATAGATACATTCTAAAACAATGTTTTTAAAACTATCCAGGCATCCTTTTGCCTAGTCAAGTTAATGCAACATTAACCATCAAGACATTCAATTCTGAGAATTCATCCCATATGAAAAGCCTCCATTCTTCCTTTGTTTTAACATCATATGACTCCAAGCTTGTCCTAAGCAACATGAACTGTGCCAGACATGGTGGTACACTCTAATCCCAGCACTCAGAAGTTACACTTAGTTTACTTATCTAAGTCTACACTAGTAGACTTATCACTTAGTCAACATATCAAGCTTTTGGCCAGCCAGAGCTACATAGTGATATGTAGCTATCTCAAATATCAACAAATAGTGTGAGCTCTGAGACTAGGGTTCTCAGTCAGTAAACATGAATTTCTGAGTTTGAAACCATACAAAAAGGCTGTGACTAGTGGTGTATGTTTGTAATATCTTCTACTGTCATGCAAAATTCACATGAAAAACACACACATATGTACACCTTCACACATGTGTACGCACACACAAGCATGCATACAAATATACACAAACATTCATATATGTATAAAGATATATATTATGGAATAGTAACCACAATCATAATTCATCAGATAAACATATGGCATTAATGCATAACAAACACAAATCCCCAAATTCAATTATTACAACTCTGTTTTGTGTCAAGTATTAGTTAATAAATTCTAAGATTTACAAGCAGTGTTGTTTTTAATAAGAGGTGGGTTAGCCCAAAACATGAAGTTTAAAGTATTTATAAGGTAATATATATTTCCTTTTATTAACACATACTATTTTATTAACATATTAGTGGTACAAAGCTCGGGGTTTCATTATGATGTTCTACACATGGGGAAACTGCCACTAAAAAGAAATGTAAATCAATTTATTCCAGAGGGTAGTTGATTTTGTCACCTCAGAAAAAGTAGAAGGTAGAAGAAGGGAGCATCTATGCAGGAAGATCAAGGAAAATGATTCAAAGGTTTAAAGAAGCTTTCTTTCTTCAGAAGAAAATTTTTAAAAAATTTTATATAATATATTTGATCATATTCATTTTTCTCCTCCAACTTCTCCCAGATAACCCTACTGCCTACCACCCCATTTCATATAATTTCTGTCTCATAAAAAATAAAAAATCAAAACCAAAAAACACCGACCCAAAACAAAACAAACAGGAAGCATTTTTTAAAAAGAACAAGAAAAACAACAAAAAAACAACTGGAGTTTGCTTTATGTTGTACAACAATTCCTGAGCATGAAGCCTGCCCTGGGGTGTAGTTAATACATCCTGTGTCACTCCGTTAAAGGAAACTGATGCCCCTCTCTCAGAAGCTATCAATTGCAAATAATTTCTTGGTTGGAGGTAGTACTTTGTGCCAACTTCCCCTTCTCCACACTGGCTATTTAAAGTTAAGTCCCTATTAATGAAGACACCATGCACTTAAAACACAGGACTTGGAGGAATCAAGCTGGACATGACCTAGAAGTCATCCCCCTGAACACTAACTTTCATAGTACTAAAATGTGATACTCCAGCTGCCAATGAAGAAAATTAGCCAACACTTCTATCTTGATGTGATGCCTACGGACCACTATGACCAGCAAAGCAAAATATCCCCAAAGATTCAATAGTGTCACTTACTTCTTGGCAGTAACCAACCTTACCAGCTATCTAAGCAGACTTATGACTCACTCAATGGGAAGGAATTCTTGCCCAGAACTATAAACCTAGCAACTACCAGTGGATGGTGAGGCACACAAAATCTAGAAAAGAAACACGTATAACCTTAGTACTTATCCTTATGCCCACAGCTAAGTGTAGTTCTCACCAATCATCTAATAAGCTTCTTTTTTGCAAAAGATAGAGACCATCACAGAAATCCACACGTGGTCAAAATGAAGAGAACAACTAACTTCGGAGTTCCCAGTCCCAGTTGATGGATCTGCATCACAAAACCTACACCTAATGCTCGAGGAACATCATCGAAGAGGGACTGGAAAGATGGTAGAATATCACAAGATCAGCTGAGAGAGTATATCTTCTATATATGACAAGGAACCTGCACCCTTGATTTCTCAACAATATAGTAGGCTAAACTACACCTGAAAAATGAACCTTATTGGCATGCCACAATGGATGGGGGAAGCTTATGAGGCCCCACTCCTAAATGAAGAGCTAAAGGCATTAATTCATTGATGCTGAGAAACTGAGAGTCAGTCTTCCCCAAAGTTGAATGCCCTACGTGGTTGTCCAACACTACATCCAAAGATTTGTCAGCCCTAAAGACAGTGTAGCTTTGTGAGACCTAGTTCAGTTTTTTCCAGACTTCTGACCTACAGAATTGCAGAGCAATACATAGATGTTTTTATAAGTTCCTAAGCTTGTGATGTGTTACACAATAATGGGAAACACATACAGAGTTAATGAAGTGATTAATGAGTGTTCATGATACTTATGACCTATTACAACATAAGAATGCTTGAAATGTAATGAAATGTTTTATAGACATTCCCCCAATGTAACTACATCTCTAAAATTACACACAATGATATCATAATGCAACACAAATGGAAAATTAATGATGCTAGAAAGAAGGGCTGTGTTATTTTTCTTTTCTCTCCATTGAAAATGTTATAAATATGCTCTCATATGAATAGCTAGTGAGGAATTATGAAAACATAAAACAAAGGATAAAATTATGTCAATAAAATAAGTAATAACATATTACACAACTTACTGAATTTTGTTGTATTCTCTTAAAATTTGACATCTATTATGAATTTATGTTTCTAAAATTACCTATGTGCCTGTTTTCAACCCATAGTTTGTACACTTTTATTTATATATATTATTATCTAAAAGATCTACAAAACACAAACCCTCCCCTGTACAAACACATAAATTTTGAAATTCAGCTTCGGGTAGGACAGGAAGGATGGTTGAGCATGCCATGTAATTGGGAACTTGCCTTTCATTTTCTATCTGGCCCCCAGGGGGTGCTATTACACAAGGAGGAAATCGAAGTACTACTACTTAAGGGCAAGCTCTAACTTTTGTTAGGTTGTGACAAGAAATATCTGCAACCAGAATCAGGTAGATGAAGTATCCGTTCACTGTCTGAAAGAGGACAAGTAGATCCCCTCTCATTCTGTTAAATCCAAAGTTAACCTATAATCCTCACCTGTCCAAAGGACCAGGTAACTTCCTGGAAACCTGGGAATTGTCCTTCTTAAAAACGAACACCTGCCCAAGGATGAAGTAAATATGAGATTCTGGGAGTTGTATTTCTTTGAAACTAACAACAAAGTCTCATGAGAAAGTACCATGCCTTATGGGTTTGCACATATAAGCTCCACCCACACATGCCTTGAAGCCACTCACCTGGAAAGTTTCCAGGTGATGGTCCTGGCTGTTTTATTTAAAAAGCGGCTCCAGAAGGAAAGAGGACATGGGACAGAGCTTGAGTGGAGGGTTTTTTGTTTGTTTGTTTGTTTGTTTGCTTGTTTGTTTTAATTAGGGGAAAGCGAATGGGAAAAGCGGGGAAAGATCAGTCTCTGAAGACAGCAGAGGCAGAAGGGAAGAGAGAGGCAAGGGGGGAGAAGGGAGGAGGGAAGAAGAGAGAAAGGGAGGGAGGGAGGGAGGGAGGAGAGACATAAGGTGGGTAGGGCCCTTTTATTGGGAATGTGCACAGGTGGTGTTCTTAGTGGCTACAACTGAGGGGGTATCCTGTCAGAACCCCAATGACAGAGCAGTACAGAAACCTGAATACTAACACTTTAACACATATTCTATCTTGGTGAGTATTTACTAAAAGCTTGCTTAAATTCAGCCAAAATGGTGGCATTGGTTTTTCTGGAAGACTTTAGGACGTACAAATCCTCCTTAACCTGAGAGTCATCTGAGTCCAAATCTCCCAGTCATTAGATTCTATTTCCTGGAAATTGTCAGGTGGAATTCTATGTCTTTTGGGGGGGAATAGCAAAAGAGGAATAGTAAACTGGAAATATGGTCCTCAGGATGTTTTTCAGGCTACAAGCCAGGAAAACAAAACACATTGCCCACCTAAGGTACTATGTAGAAACTGTATCTGAATTGGCCCCACTTAACCTGGGATCTTGGACCCTACTCCATCTCAAGCTTCCTGAATAAAGGACAGCAGGATATGCCACAGGCCAAGCTTTATGCACACTCTTATGAAAACATGAACTCGTACACATCAGTAGGGGAGCATGTGATATATCAATCCACACTGTTTAATGTTTAAATTGAGTTCAACATCACTATGTCCTCATGTTTTCAAGGTTGAAAGTTTCAAGTGTTTTCTTCTAGCATTTGAAATTTGTAAAATAGTAACATTTACCAGAAAGTGTGGCTATTCCAGAAGTGTCCCAGTCCACATATTTGTTATATTTAAAAAGGAAAGGATATATATATATATATATATACTAGTTTATCTTGTGGAATGACTTTCACAAAAATTAAAGATCAGTAAATTTTTTAGTCTGAATACACGCATGTTTCTTGATTTCAGCATGTGTGTGTTCTGTCTATAGATACTAGTTAGTACACCATTGAATGTCCCTCCTCCCCAGAGGCCCTCACACTCCATAAAACCCCTGGGTCATCTCAAATTTCCCCCACCCCCACTGTGTTCCACCCAGACTCTCAGCCAGATCTGGTTGGGAGAAGCCTCAGGCTCAGAAGGCTGGGAGGGAACTCTGCAGTGTCTGGCCTGGCAGGGGTCCTGGGTGGAGCTGCCTGGTGCAGGAGGGGGGGCATTCAAAAAAAATCCTGACACCACAGCCCAGGGCTTGGTTACTTGCTTCTGTCTCCAGCATCCAGACAAGCACCATGAAGAGTACGCTGTGCTCTCTGCTGGGGCTGCTGTGCTCCCAGTTTTTCTGTGAGTCTGGCTGTCCACACTCAGGCACAGAGAGGATTGTGCTCAGGGCATGGAGGGTGGGAAGCAGCTCAGGAGTCCTGCAGAGCTCCCTCCTTCTCAGAGGACATGGGTGTGGTCAGGGTTCTGAGGATGCTCAGTGACCTCCATCTGTGTCTCTTTCTCTGTTTCTGATCAGGGGTGAAAGGGCAACAAGTGAAGCAGAGTCCTGTGTCCTTGGTTCTGCAGGAGGGAGAGAGTGCAGAGCTGCAGTGCAACTTTTCCACCACTGCAACCCAAATGCAGTGGTTTCACCAAAGTCGTGGTGGACACCTCATCAGCCTCTTTTCCAGTCCTTCTGGAACAAAGCAGAATGGAAGACTGACATCCACCACAGTCACTCAGGAACGTCGCAGCTCCTTGTACATTTCCTCCTCTCAGACCACAGACTCAGGCACTTATTTCTGTGCTATGAATGCACAGTGCTCCCCACACACCTGCAACCAGTACACAAACCTTCAGCTGTATGGGTGTGGCCTTTCCAAGTCACAGAACATCAGGGAGCCCCATACTAGCTTGTAGATAATTTAATATTCCTTTCTTATGGCCACTTTTGCTACAGATGTATTTATTTATTTATTTATTTATTTATTCATTTGTTTATTTATTTTTGCCCCTTGGGTTTTATTTTCCCTCTTGGAATTTTTGCTGCTTGTGTACTCTGGATTTCTAACTTAGAGTGAGCATTGGAATAAACAAGATGACTGGAGTGAAATAAATATTCAATTGCAATGTCTTGGCTCACCAGGAGGCAAGCATATGGAAAAGCAAAAAAATTGCTTCACCTCAGTTGGGCGTCCCAAACACATGCAGGTCTGCCTCACAGAAGTATTCCCGTGGGTAAGGGTCACTCTTACATGTGTATCCAGGATACCATTGCAGAAGGACAAGTAAAACTTCATCAAATTTTCACACGTGAGAAATCGTTAAGGTGGAATACTTAACATGCATGTTCAGTTCGGGTCCCATCAGGCTCTTGAGCCGTTGTGTGTGCCTAACAGGTGGTCTATCCTGGAGCATGTGCTGTGCATGCTTTAGAAACGTGCTCAGTGGATACATGGGTCTGTCAGAGGCGGTTTCCTTGTGTTGTTGCTCATCCCGTGTTTCCTTGTTATTCTGTTAAGTTGTTACTGAAGGCAAACTGTCTATTCCTCTCCACAATTCAATTAACTTTGGCTTCATATGTCTTTGGGTTTGTTGTTAGTTGCACATATGTTTATAACTTTAATAATTTCCTAGTGAATTTAGCATTTCTTCTAGTAATAAAGAGTCTCTCTTGTCTTTACCAGCACTGTGACTAACAATACATTCTGCACAATGACAAACAGCATGATGTAACAGTGTGTCTTAAGGTCCTGGGAGCAAAGGGGTCGTAATGGGCCGGGAAGATGACTCAGGGCATCAAGTGCTCGCTGTACAAGTGTTAAGACCTGAGTCCAGATCTCCAGCACCCACGTAAAAACTGAGCATGGTGATACATGCCTATAACGCCTACAGTGGAGGGGAAGGTAGAGACAGGCAGATCCTAAAGGCTTGCTGGTCAGCCAGGGTAGCTGAAATGGTAAACAACAGGTTCAGTGAGAAACCCTGTCTCAAAAACAAGGTGAAAAGAGATTGTGGGAAATATTCAGTGTTGACCTCTGGCCTCCATATGTGCACACAGACAGGCATGGTCACACACATAAAAAGAGAGAGGATGGGAAACGATTGCCAGGCACCAGCCTACCAGCCTCTTCCTCTGCTCCCTGGCAGAAGTGAGCACGTTTCTTAGCCTGTGTCCATGATATGACACACTGCCTTGGCCAAGATCCAACAGCAATAAGACTAGTCTGTCATAGACCAACGTTTCTTAACTGGGAACCAAAGTAAACTTGCTCTTTTAGAGGTTGATTATCTGAGGTGTCGTGTTACAATGATTAAAGCTGACTGTCACAGAATGCCATCAAAGGACAAAATTTACAGTATCAAAACCCTGTTTGATTTTGTTTCCTCCTTCTACAGATTCTAACATGAATCCAGTGAAACAAGGCTATGTTCAAGGGGATCAGTATCGTGGTCCAGTTTGTATTAGCCCCACACTGCAGGGACCATCTACTCCGGATTGGTGTGTTTGGGGCTGTGATCGGAACCAGGCAAACAGCCCCGGGTCCGACCCTGGGTGGAGAAGTGTGCAAGAGGAAGTCCAGCCTTTGTATCTCCCATTATTCTGGATGATGCCTGCATTAGTCTAGAGAAAAAATTCTGAGGCAATTCATCAGGTCCCTGCCTGATCGTTGTAAAGTCTGTGCCCCAACGGCTGGAAGCTTGTCCCAAGCTATTTTGACAGCTGTGCCAATCTGCGCATACACGGTTATCTCAAAACCTAACTGCTGATCCATATCCTTGTATTTCCCTTTACTGGTGAGCATCTCATAAGAAACAGGAAGGTTTTGGACTCTATTCTTTTCAGCTGCGATCTGACAATGCTCTGCAAATTTTGTTTTCCAGAACAGAGATGCCTCCCCATACCTCCAATAGCAGGTCTTGGCTATCTGTTTCCAATCTCCTGGGGGTAAAACTTCTATAGAAATATTCTGTATTAGCCTCTGGGTGAAAACCACTGTTGGTTTATACTGGACACAAGCCATTTTTAGTTCCTTGAGCTATTTAAATGGCAACAGCGTTTGCACTCTGCCTCTGTTTCCCTGAGCATCCCTGTGCTCCATTACAGGAAATTTCTGGACTCCTGCAATCTTCTCATCTGTCCACCACTTCTCTAACACTAGCTTGCACTGGAGACACCTGACCCTCTTCAACTGTCTGCCATGACTTGAGGGGTGCCTATATCTTAGGCTGATCTATGTTTCCTACTGTCATAGACAAAGGAACATTTCTCTGATCTGAGGAAATCTGCAAAGTTCTTATCTGCTTCAAGAACAATTCTGCTAAACCTTTCAAGCTTCAAGAACAATTCTGCTAAACCTTTCTAGCCTCTTAGCTCCTGCTGAATCTTACCACTAGGTCTCTGCCTCTCTGTATTTCTAGTCAAAAATAAGGGAGGTGAAGACTCCATTCTGATACTTAGTAACTCTCTCTTCATACTCATCCCAATCACTCTGCCCTGTATATTCTTTCTCATCCAGCAGCTCCTCTGTAGGCGCAGAGGTCTCTATCACACTGGTAACTGGTTGAGCGGCAGATATTTCCTGCTGTCCTGCGAGGAGCCCCGAGCGTTCTGAGACAGCTGTGACAGTGGCTTCTGCGAGGGGGAAGGATCCTTACAAAACTTTCAAACTCTAAAAATTTCTGTACTTGCTTCTTCTTTGCTTCAGCTCTCCTGGCTATTAAAATATACCCAAGTAAATATACAATCATCTGAATAATAATTCTCTGTCTAATATCTCCAATTATGTACATTTTTACTCTCAAGGTTAACTCACTTCTCTTTAGCATGTGGCTAATATTCCTCTGTTTCACATCTACAATTATCTGCATGTTTTACTCCAGAGGCTAACTCATTACATTTCACTTCTTTGTCATCTGACTGACCTTTTTCTGTTCCATATCTTCACATGTGCACATTTTCACTCTTAAGGTTAACTAACCATACTTTATTTCTTTGTCAACTGACTAATATTTTACTGTTTTGTATCTACAATTATTTGTGTTACAGTTTTACTCCTGACTTAATGCTGTTCACTCACCACACCTGACTTCTTTTTTCTTTTTTCTGTGCACACTTCTCAGACTCGTCCACCTGCGGTGTCCATTCCTCTGTGGTGTCCATCCTTTCTTTCCCAGTTCTCAGGCCTCATGTTTTGGCACCATTATATCGTGGTCCAGTCTCTATTAGCCCCATGCTGCAGGGGCCATCTACTCCTGACTAATGTCTTTGGGGCTATGATTGGAACCAGCCCAACGGCCCTGGGTCTGACACTGAGTGGAGGAGTGTGGATGAGGTAAGGCCTAGCTACCCAACAACATTAAAGACAAGATAGAGACATTTGGTCATATCAGAAAGGCTCCCAGTTAATACCGAAGGCCATCGTTTATTGAAGCATCATCTTAAATAACCATCCAAAAGCAGGGGTAATGGCAGAAGACATCTGTATTATATATAAAGGACTGAATATGAAATGTTTTCTTTAATCCTAGAGATACTCCTAAGCAGCATGTACTCAAGCCCTCAGACACTCCAGACCAGCAAGTCTTACCAGCCCTCAGGATGGGTGTAGACTCTCCCTGGTCCTAGTCTTTTGTTATACAGAAAATAGGAGCCATTCCCCCCAAGGCTAGGCATCCCGCAGTAATCAGCTGATATATAAAAGACAATAGAAGTTCTGAGCTCTTAGAACTTGTGGCTGGGTAGAACATATTTCCAAAATATTACACGGGGCCCCAGCAGATCAGTAACTTCTAAATTTGAATTATCAATGAATAAAACATCTGCTTTCTCAAAAAATAATTGCCCCTTTGTAAAATCCTTCTTTACATTCCAAAGCACTGGGTAATGGAATGGATGGTGGCTATAAGGATTCAGGCATTGTGCTGACCCTGTCCCCTGACAATTGCCAGGATACTCACACCATCATTCAGGCAGATACTTAGACAGCTCAAAGGGCCCTGTGATACTTGGATACATCATGCATTAATTACATGACTGCATAAGGACTCTGTACGCATGTGCAAGCTTTCCCTTTTCAGGAAGCTCCTCCCACCTGTTTGCCCCTTCCTCTTCCTTTTCTCCCTTCCATCTGTGTTCCCCACCTCCTTCTTTCCCCTCATTCCTTCTTCTTCCCTTCCCATCCCTGTTCCTGGTTGGCCAACACTTAGCCCTCCCTTCGCTCCCTTTCCCAGTAAACTCCATGTGGGTTTGTTGAGTTTTGTGGTTCCTGTTTCATTGCCCGCAGCTGCAGCAAAACAACATTTCAGTGGCCATATTGGGAAGGTAGACCCATGAAGTACACTTACCAGATAGACCTGACTGACAGGCAGAATTTCTTGAAGCTTATTTCTCTCCCTCTTGAAACAATTTCTGGAGCCTTAGCTGCAGGTGTGGGCATGGGCTGCTGGTGCCTGGAGCGGCAAACCCCTGCTGTTGGGTTGCTCCTGGCAGAGATGTGGAGGAGTTTTCACTTGCACAAATATGTGATGACAAACTCACCAGTGTGGTAGTGTGAGAGTGTGGTTAATAAAGCAAAAAAGAGAAGCTTAGTTTAATCAATGAACCAATATACTTTCCACTTATGTTAAATTATGTTGTTAACAGCTAGTTATACATTAGTGACAAGATACAAAGTTGTACAGCCTCACTGTAAGTTGTTGGCAGATTCCTATAATTATACTCACAGGCATTAAGAAAAAAAATCAAAAGATGGTATACACAAGCACTTTTTTCTATTTAAAATTCTATTTATTTATTTGAAATTTTCATATACGTGTACAATATATTTTGCATATATATATATATATATATATATATATATATATATATATATACAAAATATATTGTACATCAAAATGAAAATTTCAAATAAATAAAT